ATTCCTTTGAAACCAAATCCACTCCACCAAATAAATGTTAATCCCTCCTGGGGCAGCACCTCTGTCTTCTTTCACTATGTCTTGCCTCTTAAATTCTGTTACATGGGAGGATGAGCTTCGACCACATGAACTTTTCAGGGACAAACCATAGTACATGTCTAGTACCCCTGTCATAAATGAGGCAAATGTCATGGTCTACACTTAAGATTATGGCAACTAGATTTGCAACTGGATTAAACCTGGGTTGCAGTGAAACCTGCATGAGAGGTTCTGTGGGAAAAAGGAGTACTTAAACATGAGGTCATTAATTTTTTTTCATACATTCATTTAGTAAAGCTGAGGCTGTGATGCTAAACGTGTGAAAAGAAAGATAACAAACAGCTCCTTGAAACCAGTGTCCCTAATAAAGTCACAAAACCCAATCCCAATCCCAGAGCTTGAATCCCTTCCTCCTCTGACAATAATAGAGTAGAAATACCCATTTGTATCATTTATGGAAGAGCTAAGTTAAAGCGATTTGGAGCTGATCTGATTTTTATTTTGCCTATAAAGTTTCAGTCTTCCTTTAGCTTGCCTCTGTCCCCTAAGACACAGTGGCAAGAGCAGTGGATTAAAAATCAGATGGCCTGTTTCCAAATCTACCTCTGATTAGCTGGGGACATCTTGGGCAAGCTACCTAATCTGATTCTCAGCTTCTACATCTTTGAAAGAAGAATGTTAACACTTCAAACTAACCGAAATTATATTATGAAAGTGTACATTACAACTCAGTCATTGCATGTAGAATGAAATCGCTAGACTTCTCAGCCATAATCAAAATCTAAGGAGAAGAATATTTCAGAGGAAAGAAAGAGGGAGTTGCTGATGCCTCTCTCCTTTCCCAGTCTTCACAAACCTCCATGATAGCCTGTGGTTACTTGTGGTGAATACCCTTCTCTCCAAGTTTGATTTCCAAGCTTGCAGTGAGTCCTGATGCAGAGGCACATTTTGGAAAAATGCAAAATGAACACCTGGAATTGAAACATTCAGGCTCACTTACTAAAAAGCTAGGAAAAGCCATGGTGGTATTTTCTTCCTAGTCTTGAAATGGATGAGGAATTCCAAATGCATCTGCTTTCTAAGGAAGTCCCCTTGTCCTCCAAATAAGACAGAATCATTCTTCACAGTCAGTTTAACTCAGTGTAATGCCATCTGCCTTGGATTTCTTTTCCTCTTAGTCAAAGCCTTTAACATTTCTTTCTATTCTTTTTTTTTGTAAGTGCTAGAAGTTGTGTCGTATCAATTGCCTTTTTGCCTCTCAGAAACAAACCACTTAGCCAATGGAAGGTAAAGAAACTCAGATACAAAATTAACATTCATATCAGACTAATGAAGCACATCAGTTACATAGAAGAGGAGGTTCTTTGACGGGCTGTGTAACAGAATAATGAAAATAACCTTAAAGTAAGATGGGGGAACCTAAGCTTTGTCCTAACTCTGTGTCAAATTTCTGTGCTATCACAGACAGATTATTTAATATTTTCATGATAAATTTTGTGGTGGAAACAAGACTGTGGCTCAGGCTTCTATGTGGTATATTCTGAATAAAGAGTACATTCTGTGTCTCTATAAGAAAGAATTATCAGCGTACTGAGAATAGGTTGAGCCATGGCCACGAAAATGAATCCTGTGTTGGTGGAGACTGCTAAAAAGCAGCCCTGAGCAGGACTTAACTTAGCCAATTGGCTTATCATGTTTACTTGTGGGTTTTTCCAAGGCCGAGGCTCCTTGTCTGGAGATGGTTGGTGGACTCAGAGTAAGGGAACTTCTGTGAGTCACTAATTCCTACTAAGGCCTGTAATGGTGGATGAAGCTAGAAAGCCTCAAAGGATAAGACAAGATCACAGCCAAGGACACCTACATCTGATCTCACCTAGATAAAAACTATAGCCTCAGGCATTTCCCTCCTGGCGGATTAATTGAAAACCCTACTTGGAGCAGACCTGGAAGGGTTCTGCCCTTGCTGTCCTTGAGTACTCCCCTCTCTTCTTCTGATAACTAAATAAATATGGGCCACTCAGAAAAGGTCTTAGTCTTAGCCCTGAGAGAATCTTGATTTCTGGGAGAGGGCTTTGATCCTCCAGGAGCCCTGAAATCATTCCATTTACCTCTTTTATATAGCTTTTACTGTACACTCGTATAGGAGATTGCAGACCTGCTCAGCCTGCAATAACTAGGGGATATTATTAACCTGATACTGTGTTATTGTCAAAAACAGATATCTGTGATCTTGACATAAATAAATGTGAGAAAAGAATAAGTAAATTTGATTCTCTAAAACTGTGAGCCCTATGATTGCTGGACAGCAAAATGACCTTCCCTGAGGTGTTGTAAGAAAGTTCTAGAGAAATGGACTGGCTGGAGTTTTAAAAAGGAGAGCATCTGCTACTCAGATGTTTCAGTGGTTATTGAAATAATCATCATGTGTTCTATTTTGCTGGTGTCACACTAGCATTACAGACAATGTATACTAATGTCATTCTCCCATGCCAACTAAAGCATTAAGGGAGAATGTTGTCACCTAGTAAGTAGAGATTTGTTTCACTTGACACTATAAGTTCAGAAATCATTCATCCTTCTGATGATGTAAAACACTAGGCAGAGATATATTCATCCAAAAGAAGTTCTTATGCAAACACTTCGTCTCTTATGTAGACTCATATAAATGAAAGAAACAGTAGAAAATGATAAGCACCATAGAAGAAGTGCAGATTAGTCAGAGAAGGCAGATATTTCACGTGAGAGCATAAAGCAGGAATTTTATGTGGCAAGAGCATATGTAATGAGTTTTGAGGGCTGAGCTAGGTTTGACCTATGGGAATGACAAAATACGGGAAAAGCAGAGGTACTAGAAAGTGTATCACCCATAAGAACAAAATTAGTGCTAGCATCGAACACTTACTTCTTACTATGGGCTAAGATCTGTAGGTACATGGTCTTAGTGAATTCTCATACTTCTAAGGCATTGGTTCTTTTGCATTCACTTTTCAGATGGAGAAACTGGAGTTTTTATGAAGAGAAATGCCTTGTGCAAACTAAACCATCAAGAGGAGAGCAGATTGCTCAGGATCCTGGAAACATGTGAAGAAGATGAAAAAATGTCTGAAAAGTTAATTTTGTTTTGAAAATAAACATATTGGAATACTGGATTGTCTCAGCAAATCAAAGCTAGGAGGAATTCAAATGAACTAAATAAGAAAAAAAAAGTAAGATCTTCTTTATATGCAAAATAAAACAAAATGGGACAAAGCTATGCCTTAGATGGTATGAAAGATAGTCCCAAATCAGTGTTCTCTGAGCACCCTCATCAATGTCAAAGTGAAAAATATCAGGGATGTGAATACCTTTCCCAATTCAACTCTCTGCAATGGAGAGGAAACAACCGAGGCTGAAAGAAAAGTGATCCTTTGGAAATGTTTCAATTGATTCAAGTTTTAAAGGAAAAGTAAGCATTATGTGTACTTGTGGCTGTGCAATTCTTGCCAATTTCCGTACGCTAGTGGGAACTGACAGCTGAGCACGATAGTAAAACCATAAATCCCCTGGCTCTCATGCAGTTTATATACTGCTCAGAAAACAATTAAACTGTACTGTAATCATACTAATGTGAGACTATTACTCCACGGAGTTGGTGGTAAGCAGATGTACATTAAGCATTTAGCATAGGCAAATCCTTCAAGTGGGTGTACATTCATTGCCCACTAAAAGTTTTGTAAATAAAAGATGCATCAGAACCACAAAGGATTTCTGCTTTCACAGAAATCACCCACGTAGTTTGGATTTCTCTTGTTTGTTCAGCTGTTCAAGAATCAATGCTCTCACAGACGCATTCATGTTTAAAATGAACTTTTAGAAACAACTATTTTGGAAAAATATGAATTTCTCTTTATCATTATTTCTTCCATTAGTAACACCATAATTATGTTTGGTTGATTATGCCAGGAACAGTTATGCAGAAATATGGTTGATAGCTGAAATATATTTCCCAAAGGACATCTACTCAGGAATATGAGTTAAATTATTAATGTTTTTATCCAGGTTTTGAGTGAGACCATGTGGTGGTATGATGCTATAATTTATTATTTTCATTTTTATTTTTGCATTTATACCTGAGTTCTATTTTGATAAAAATCAGAGGAGGATTGGAGATACCTGCTTTATTTATTCTGTGGTGATGAATTTGAGTTCTGAAACATTTATCAGAGCATGTCCCTTAGTGCGTTGATCGAGCACACATGTTTCTAACACCCTCTGATACTACCATGCTGGAATCTTACAATAAAAGCGATATTTCTGTCTGAGTAAAAGTTTAGATGCTTACTTTGAAAGGAAACCTAGTGTTTTTGGCTTTTTCAGTTACACAGAGAATTTTCAAATAAGATATAAAACCAGTGGAGAAAATTTCACAAACTAGAAACAAAATTTGTAGACCAAAATATTTATTTTAACAGTTTAGACCAGCTACTTTCCCCAACTTCCAAGTGATTTCACCCTTCCATTTTTCATATATTTCATTTTATTTGTCAGTCTAGGTCATGTCAGTCAGTCTACCCATAAATATTAATCCTCATTTTGATAACCCAACATATAATTTTATATATGCTTAATAGTTAATTGATGTTTAAGGAAGCCCCTTCCAATAACTACCACTGATTGAAGTTTGAATTAATATAGTACTATTGAAAGGATCTCAATTTGGAATGATCCAAATTATAAATTTTATCAGTTAAAATAGAACATTTATTGCCACAGGGAATTTTAAATGGATGACTGTAAGAATGAAAATGCATCTCTCAAATATGTTTGCTGATAGCATCATTCAAATTCACCACTCATTATTGAAATGAAGTGTTTACTCAATAAGCCACCAAATTCTTGCTTTCCATAATTTCATCATAATTTTATTTTATATTTACAGTCCTCAATATCTAATGCAAGTGTCTTGCTCAGGGGGTGAGGGATTAAAGAAGAGAATCGGGGTCTGGAGGAAAGTAATCTGAGGACTGATGTAGAAGACAATAATTAATAAAGCTAACAGGATGTGAAAGTCTTCCAGAAGAAATTCTTGCAGCCCGCTTTGCGTTCTCGGGGTGCCATGGCCGGGTTTGAGTTCGCAGATCTCTGCAGCTCCAGCCTCATCTCGTCCTGCTCAGCAGCCTGGGACAAATCTTCAGGTTCCAGGGCATCATTCTCTGTCTGGTTAGGTTCAGACAGCAGCTCTGCCAAGAAGTACTTGGCCAATTCCTGCGAGGGGCAGGAGAGGGAAAGAGAAGAGGAAGAGAACGATGAAGAGAAGAAAAGGGAAACCTCCTTTGGAAAATAGACGATTACAATCCAAACCCAGCTTTCACAGCTGTGCAGATTTTGTTCTCCTAAAAATCAGTTCAAATATAAGAAATAATAACGGTACTTGCTATACTTTGAATGCGCAAATGTTTCTGCGAGTGTTCTGACCCTGAAAGCTTTAAACGCACAAAGAGAAATAGATGATAAAAGCAGTTTTACGAAGATGAGGGGTGTGCCACTATTTTAACTTAGTTTGCATATCATGAACTACCGCGTGCAACGACTCTTACGGTTTTCACAAAACAAACGTAAGGGGAGCAACACCTCTCACAATCACAGGCACATTTGTTCTCTTGGCACAACCGTCGCCCCTCCTACCTTGCCGTGGATGAGGTCCGAGCTTCAGCACCAGGGCCAGCGACTTCGGGGGCCAGCACCCGGGACAGATGCTATCATCCCTTTCTACTAAACTTTACCTGGTTTTCCCAATTTTCTTAAATGCCTGGGAGGAACTCAGCTGAAGGGTGACGGAAGGCGCTCATCCGGCAAAATTACAGGTGACGGGATTCTAGCCTTTGAAAGTTTTCCTAAAAGCTTTGGTCGCCTGGAACTCTTTATGCGAGCCAAACACCTGTTAAAGGTAAAAGGAGGCTGGGGCACCCGGGAGAGAAAAAGACTTCGAGGGAGTTTCCTTACCTGCTTTCCTGCGGCAGCAGCCAGTGACTTCTGCAGAAACTGACGGAGTCGAGGGTCCGAGGGCGCGCCAGTGACACCGCCCAGGGCCAGGACAATGGAGAGCGCGGCCAGCATGCACTGGAGGCGGCAGGACAGCATCTCCGCGGAGCTCGCAAGCCAAGCTGCAGAGCGCCTGGTCAAACTCTAGAGGAGGATCTGCAGGCAGCTGCAACCGCTCCGGAATCCTACCACGGCTAGTGAGCTCTCCACAGGCTCCCCCCTTTTTAAACTCTCTCTCTGACGTCAGGCTAGCAGGCGCCCCCAGATCTCACCAGCGCTTTTACGCACCATTAGCCTTGCAAAATCAATCACAGAAGAGAGGGGAGGCTACAAGTTCTAAAGTGATTTACTTAAAAAGAAAAAATCTGCACACAGGCACGCACCATTTCACATGCCACGCTATACGGACAGTCGTTTAATTTCTGTCATGCCACCAACATATACCTTCCAAAATCTCACTCACACATGTGCACACTCAAGTTAGGCACACAGAGGCTCACCCGCTCAGCCTTTAGGGGGCAAATATGCAATTGCACACCCACGCATGTATATAAGTGTATAAAAGGGCTCCATTGATTCTGCTTGCCCTTTGTAGAAGACCTAAAGAAATGCATTTGTATGTGTGTACAGCCAGTGAGGTTGAAAATCCTTCCTCCAAGAACAGTTTTCAGAGAGAACCAACTCCTCTGCCATTACCTCTGTACAAAGCATTCTGGACAGAGGCCCCAGAAGATGTGATGGGTTCTAAAACAACTTCACATGTCTCTACAAGTGGGAAGCTATCTGTACCCCATTCCCATGCTTTTCTTTCTCAGCCTCTGTTTCTTTCTTAAAATCTGAGAGATTTCTAATCTCTTTGCCTTTCTATTGTGACAAAAATTAAAAATAAGGACACAAGGACAGAGACAGAGAGAGAGAGAGAGACAGAGAGAGTGACACTGTTCTGCTCCCTAAAAACTTGGACCTGGAAGGCAAACTCAGAAATTATCCAGCAATTCTCATACATTGAATGACTAAGCCCTAGAGATAAGGAGCACAGTGCTCTGGCTCATATACTACACGACGTACTGCAAAGACCAGAGCTCCATGCCCCAAGGCCAGGGTCATTTCCACACAACTCTGAGCTTCCTCACAGAATCTTGGCCAGAAAGAGCAGTTCTAGGTTACATCAGGAATCCACAAATGGATGCAGCAAAGTCCAGGAGCCTCTTCCACATATGTAAGAATTACTGAGTATCTGTGTGTGGGTAAAGGATCCACAGACTAGGAAATCCACTCCCCTCCTCTCTCAGCCACAGAGAAAGTTTAAGAAACAGTACCTAGGTTTCTAGCTGCCATTGGGTTGAGTGTTTGCTCTTCAGACCAGAGTTCTGACAGTTTTGTCTGTTCCAAACAGTTCCTGATCAAGGAAACATCAGCTAATTTCTTGACATAGACCATCACCTCTCCAAGCCCTTCAAGTGCTAATACTTCATAAGCATCAAAGAAGCCAATATTAGACTAAAATAATGCTACAGTCCCAGAAATCATGCTAAGCTGAGAACTGTCAAATTCTGTCATCAGGTACGCATCATAACTTACAGTATTCTCAATATTTAGACCCAAACCAGAGTGCTAAGAGGGGGGAAAACTTGGGAGGGGCCCTGTGTGACTTGGATATTGATCATTATCTCTTTGATATCTGTAAGAACACACAGAAAGGGGTGCTGAAGCTTCCAGGGCTTCGAATTCTAGGCAAGATTATGCACATAGTAAGGCAGTACAAAGTCACTCTCAGAATAGTCTGAGAGAGCACAAATCTAGAGTCTTGCATTCGAACTGTGGGAAATATAAGTTACAGCTCTATTGATCCTAGAATGCTCCCTGGCCCTAGGCTGGGGACCCAGAGTGTATTTATACCAGCCTAAGTGTCCTGAGGCACCTCCAAATGCTCTCCCTGCCTTATCCAAACTTTGGTCCTTGGAGGCTTCCTAGAGCAGGAAAGGAGAGGTTTCCTCAAATAGGCTGTCTGCTTGTGTGGTTTGTGATCTCTGTTCCCTCCCTCCCTCCCTCCCCCAAGCCCTGCCCCTCTTCTTTCAAAGTCCTCTTTCTCCTCCACACCTTCTTCTCTTCTCTGCTCCTTTCCCCATAAACTTTTTTCTAAATTTTTGTCTCAGCATCTTCCTCATACAATGCTTCTTTTGTCTTCTCCTTCTCCTCATGGCACTTTTCCCTCGAACTCCTCAGCTCTGCTCTGACTTCAGTCTGCTGTGATCTGATGGCTCCTTCCTGCCTTCTCTGCACAACTTCCTCCCTTTGGTCTGGCCGAGTGCTCATCATCTCAGTCTTCGCTTCTGTGGTCCCTGTTGTCACCCTCCTTCCTTTTCTTTCTCTCTCATCAGCTGCATCACTCAGAGAAGGCTCCTGAACTCTAGCTGTTTAAGTGCCTCCTCAGAGGGCTGAGTCTGAGTTCTCAGGTCCCTTCTGAAGTGCTGCGACTGTAGAGGAGCTGACTTTTGGAGTTTTTGGTTTTTGTTTTGTTTTATAATCCTTGGGTAGTTATGAATCTGAGATCCAATGAAAAGAAAAGAGCGGCACAAAAGGAATCAACAGTTATTCCTTAACCTCTCCTAGGTTTTATGGTTTTTCTCTTCAGTTTTAACACATTGCTTGGCTTCAGATTAAAGCTCTTCCAGCATCTCCAACCTGAGCCCTGTGCAGTTAACCACAGGCACGTCTCTTCCAAAGAGAAGGTTACGCTGGATTGTACTGAGGACCCTATTTCCCAGTCCATGGTCACCACGAATCACTTCCTTCCAACGTGTGCAGCCTTTCCTGGGTCACAAAACACCTGTCCCCTAGCACTTTGGGGATGAGACTCTCGTCTCACAGGAGGAGGCTGAGGTCCTAAAACGTGAGTGTCTAGTGCGGGGGGGCACCTTGGTGGCATCTTGCAGATGAGAAGGGGATCTAGGTATGCAGAGAGAGGGGAGGGAGGAAATGGGAAGTAAAAAGGACCAGGATGTGATTTGTGCATGTCCAAACTCCCCATGATAAATGTACTCATTTTTCATCACAAACGTGTACTAATGAAGTAAGTAAATTCTTCTCATTGGGGAAATAAACAAGGGCAACCAGGTAGGAACTAGTATAGCCAAAGGAGAAAGTCACTCGGCCTTAGAATGTTTCATTCACCTCTGACTCAGAGACACCAGAGATGCCTGGCTGAGCAAAATGAGGTGATTAGCTGTCAGTATGATGAGTAAAAACTCTTGTAAAAAAGAGAAACAGTAAAGGTTTGTGAGCAGACTTAATGTCCACTAGGAAGAAGGCACAAAAGGAGAAAGTACCTACAGGCAGAGGCATCTGAATTCTAGCTTGGTTCTGCCACAACCAGCTGTGGGACATTCTCTCCCTCCTTGGTTTCCTCATTTGCAAACATAAAACCTCAACAGGTCATCTTTGTGCTTCCTTCCAGCCATGATAATCAGCAAGTTTAAAATGAAAGGACAAATTACAGTGTACTCTGAAGTTAAATGCCCTCATTTTTCTCTAAATGAAGTCTCTGTATCGTGAAGGAGCCTAGTTTTTGAGTACTTAGGGGAGAAAACCTGGTGCAGAAGACAAGACATTTCACAGGCTCCTCGGAAAATCTGCTCTGAGGGTTGTATCTACCACTGACCTGTACTTCCCTTGAAGACCTTTAGTTTCTCTGTTTCTAAAGCTGACTTGCTCAAATTTTGTCTTCTAATCAGTATGGAAAAACTGTTCTATTATGTGAGATATCAACGACACAGGAGTAAGCTAGACAGACAGAGTCCTAAGAAGAAAGATAAACAATAGTAATTAATTTTATTATGGCTCAAATAATTTTATACGTTAAAATGTATGTGGGTCGAAGCAAAGCACATAGCATGACTGCAGCAGGGTACACCCCTTTGAGGAGAACCCCTGTGAGCAGAAACTGACCTGAATAGAAGGATTTGGCTCCACAAATATCCAATAAAGATTCCAACCTAGGACCTGAGGTAGCAACAAGGCCGGAGACCCAGAAGAGAGTGGATGAAGCCGAGAATGCTGGGTGGGAAGTAGTGAGACAGAGAGGAGAAACTTGAAGCTCTTCTATGGAAACAACTGAGAGATTTGGAGCAAGGCACTGAATTCATTTGGTTATTTTTAAATAGTACTTTCACATCAGTGGGGATTTCACTGTACAAGGGCAAGAGGAAAAGCAAAGAGATGACTTAAGTGTCTAAAAACCATGGAACAAAGGAGCCAGGGCAAAGGAAACTCATTCTCCCATCAATGCCCAAGCCCAGGCAGGCTGGCCTGCATGAAGGCACCTCAGACCTCCTCAGTCTCAGCCTCTGTAGCCAACCTCCAGGCCATCTCGCCTCTTGGGTTCCCCAGGCTGGGAGGGTGCATGTGGTTTGTGGTTCTTCCTGAAGTTCCCATACTCTAGATCAGGGGAGAAAAGATGGTATTAAAGCCTAGAGGGGTGGTCATGAGGAAGATGAAGATGACCGAGACTTGAGGTTTATTTAGAAGCAAGGAAGATAGGACACATTGATAGTTTGTTTGGAGATCAAGTTCAGGAAATGACAAGAACCATCAAAGCCTAAAGCATCACCCAGACAGTCTCTAAAGCACTATCAAGTTGCACAAATTCTTGAGAGACCTCAAGAAATGGATTTGTGCTACAGAATTCTGGAAATTTGCCAAACAATAAACTTTTTCATTGTCTGAATAGAAAGGTGAGGCCTAAGAACAACAGAGCAGAGCAGAAAGAGTCATGGGCTGGATGTCTGAGGGCCTCCACTTCCATGCTGTTTTCTCCTTCTCAAAATGGATTGATAATCCTGCCTCTCAAGAGACAAGATTTAAGAACCAGGTCAGACATAGTGGGTGAGAGTACTTGGGACTCGCTAAAACATGAGACTGTTAAGGCTGGATTTCAGAACAGTGCCTCATGCAGAGGCAGCCATTCCTAAGTCAAGGATGATAGTCAAGGAGCCACCCAATCACTCTGAGAGCCCAGGTGTCCCTGTCGATGCTCTGATCCAACTGGGCAGGTAGGCTTTCCTCATCCTGGGGATGTGGGGCTATGAGCTGGAGCTCAGGAAGAATTCTTCCACAGAAAGGAGCAGAAGCAGCAGGTGCATGCTGAACTCCCTTTATGCGAAAACAGTCTTTTCTATCTTTCCTACATTTATGTTAGAGACACAACATATTATAA